GTGGGCGTGCGATAGACATACCTCCACGTGGTGCACCCTGGGCAACGTATACTTATGCGGCAAAAAAGTCTATCTAGCAGTTGACTTCTCACTTCAAACTACCATCACCCCACTGCATGTCATATTCGACTACTTCCACAGTATTCATCTCACCTTTCATCTACCTTTGTTTCTGTCTCTTTTATATCTTTGAACACTCTTCTGTCCCCCCCCCCTCTCGATTTTTTTTCGATTTGATGTTCCTCTCCCTCTGTGAAGCCTGAAGTCAACTAAAGGGCTAATGATGAATATCATAAAGCCTGCCATTTGATATAAATAAATCCTAATAATTGTGAAAATAGTGTTCGACATATTCTTTGCAAAAAAAATATTATTCATATTTTTAAATATTATTAATGCAATTCCTTGTTATTGCATTTTAAACTGCGCACAAAAAACGAAAAGTAGGATTCACAAGCCGACGCGCATTTGCAGATGAAATTTCATTGGCTCGTTTCTCCTGTTCAGGCTTCTGGCACTAAATTGAAGTAGGTTATTTAAATAAAGCAAAAGCGCAATATCACCAACCTAACGAGAGAGAGATGGCTTGCGTTCAACCCTACCGCAATTTCGATGCCAATTCTGATGCCCAGCTCCTTCACGAGGCTATGAAAGGAATGGGTATGGACTTCAGCCTTCTTCATCCCTCCTTATCACTCAAATGATTTAATAAATTATTTTGTTTTCCAATTTTTATTGAAAGGCTGTGACAAAGATGTGATTACCGACATTCTTGCTCATCGCACGGTAAAACAGCGCAAGGAAATAGAAGTCGCTTACAAGGCTCAATTTGGAAGAGTAAAGATTATTTATTTTTTTAAAAATTCCACTCTAACATCTTTTTTTTTAAATAAATCATCTTTTTTGAAGGATCTTAAGGAGCACCTGAAGAAAGAACTTCGTGGTGATTATGAGCATGCTGTACTGTGGTCCTTCCTCACTCCGGCTGAAATAAATGCGACAGCTCTCCAAAAAGCCATGAAGGGTGCCGGAACGGATGAAAATATGCTCATCAATATTATCTGTACTGCCAATAACCGTGAAATGGAGGAGATTAAGATAGCTTTCCAAGAAAGTACGTTGCTTCTTCTAAATAGAACTTTATTGTGTTGTCTTCAGAATGAGCAAGAATCGCCATCAGAAAATGGAGAAAGTAGATGGCTGTGGGAGGAGTTCTGTAAAGTGCCAGTTTAGAAATTTAACTATCATAGAATTGGAAAGAGGCGAGAATATTAGGTAATTAAAGTGTAACTACAAACCGCGTTAAGGGTTAACCTTGATATTAAAACAAGTTGCTTGGAAAATCGATAAACCGAGGGGAAATAATGAATGCGGCAAGTGAAATGCATCAACAACTGTGTGTGGTTGTCAGTTTCAAGGTCATTTGCTAATGCCTTAAATATGCTTCCATAGTCAATCCTAGTGCATCAAATGCACTTTTATATACAAAATATCCGTTCCAATTAACGCCTCTGGTTTTCGAAGGTTGGATAGGGGAATTAGCAGATTCTCCACTTTTTTAAGTCAATGTTTCGCGCAAACTAACTAATTTTGATTAAAAAGAAATTTAAGGATTAGATAAAGAAGCTACTTACTTAATTATTATCTTAAATTAAGGATTTTAAATATTTAATTAAACCGGAAAAATTTACTTATTTACGCAGCCTTGTTTACTGTTCATTGTTAGTGTGTTTACAAGGCAATTCATAATAAATCTATTCAATTTATTGGGACAGAAATAAAATTCTATTTTAATCATCCAAAAGAATCTGAACACGAGGAATTATGAAAAGCAGTTCAATGGAAATAAAAAGCGAAATCAGTTCATCAAAGAGTCCTAATTCAATGGATTATCGGCTCTTCATTACCTTATTTGAGGATTGAACTTTTAGGTTCCCGGGGTTAGTTTGGTTCCTCCCACCCCCACCCCCACCCCCATCCCCCCCCCTATCATTTGTATTATACATCTCCTTTTTCTATTATTTTGCAACCTAAATTTCAGTGTTTGGAAAAAGTCTTGAGGACGAGGTAAGGAGTGAGACGAGCGGGGACTTCCGACGAGTTCTAATTGCTATATTGCAGAGTTCCCGTTCAGTTGACTCTGACAAATCTCTGGCAAGAGTCAATGCCCAAGAACTCTTTGAAGCCGGCGAAGAGTAAGTTGGCAAGCATAAAGTACTCCATAACAAAATTGATCCTTGAGCCCAAGGTTGGGTTTTTTTAAATAATTTTGAAATAAATAGATAGAGTATGGTCAAACATTTTAGCCCGGAGAATAACAAGTACTTCCAGAAGATTTGTGAAAATTTGGGTTAGAAAAAATGGAGATTATAGCTCACACCATACAGGGAGTTCAACCTCCCTTATTGCTTATAAATTTCACCAGAATGTTCCCTTTAACATTATTGAGTAAAGTTCGGTTCATTATTTAATTATCCCCTACTCTACTAATATTCTAATTTGATCTAAAAGAACATGAATGATATCATGTCGGTGGCATTCAGAATGATTTTCGGGTCATTGTGAACCTTCGAAATTAGCCATTCAGATCACTAAGTGTAGTTTTCTGAAGCTCGATGAAGGCATATGGCTTAATTTTAATTAAATTACTATTTGCAAATTAATAAAAATATTATTTCACTTTCCAGCAAAATTGGAACCGACGAAAGTACATTTGTTCGCATGATTTGTTCAAGTAGCTTTAAACAAATTCGCTATATCAACGAATACTATCAAGAGGTAAATTGATTGGCTTTTTTCAAATAATTTAAACAATTTTGTTATACATTGACCTGATCCCTTTAATTTTAGATAACTGGACATGATCTAATTACTGCTATTGCTAAGGAAACTTCTGGAGATTTTAAAAAGGCTTTGACTCGTGTCGGTAAGTCTTAATGGTTCTCTTTATTTTGTTGCTTTACACATATATATATATAGAATGTTCGGGAATTGGTTATTGTTTCAAATAATAAAAATTAATAAACAATCAGATATTTAGCATAGTTGCAGTAAAAAAGGAAAAAGAACATATAAAGAGCACAGAATTTCATCCAAAAATTGAAAGTTGAGCGAGTATCTTCATCATATTCACAAACTCCTCGGAATGCCATCACGGTATTTAGATTCTCGAATGTCGTATGAGTGGTTTTCGTGATTCTTGAAGTTGTCTGAACATATACTTCCAAAATGATTTTTTTTTACTTTTTCAACCATTCAAAAACGAATCTTGAGCTTCAAATTATGCCAATAAATTGACATTTTCTTGCACTCAAAATCGTTTAAATATGAAGTATTGATAGTTTACCAAAAAATCAAACTTAGCCGGTTATCTTTTGCATTTTTTCAGTTCAAGTTGCAATAAATTTTGCCGGAACTATTGCGGAGCTGCTCTATTCAAGCATGAAAGGATTGGGAACCGATGACACAAATCTTATTCGAATTATTCTAAGCTATGCTGAGGTAAGTTCGGCAAACCCCTGCCTAACTCTCAATTTAAAAACTGCCTAACGATACATTTTCTTCCATTTATCAGACCGATCTTGGCAAAATTAAGGCCTGGTTCGACGCGAACTACGAAAAATCTCTAGTTGAAATGATTAGTGGTGATACTTCAGGAGATTATCGAAAATTCCTTCTCGCTATTGTTGAATAATTTCGTCAGTCCTGAAATCACCCTACTCCCACTATCTCTCCGCCCACTCTTCAAATGTCTTCATGATTTGTGCTTTTGGTAATTAACAGACAATACATTAACACCTATATATATTATAGTAAATTTCATTTAGACAGGCGTTTGCATAGCTCCGAGAAAAACATTTAAACACTAAAGTAAATGTGTATTTTAAGGCAAGTATGGTGTGATTTGCAGCATTAATTGAGGTAAGTAGAATAGCACCAGCTTAACACTGAGATAAGGCTAATATTTGAACGAGATATTGCAGGCCAGAAGTGAATAAGGCGTAGTTATGGAATCTGCAACGAGTGGCATTCAGGAATATTTATGTACATAAAATGGAGGTTTTGTGTCGGTTATAATTAGCCCTTTAGTTGACTTCTGGATTCCCAGGGGGGAGGAATATCAAAGTCTCAAAAAAGTAGAAGGTGGGGGGGGGGACAGAAAACTGTTACACAGATGTGAGGTGAGTACTGTGAAGGTGGTGAAATATGACATACAGTGGGGTTATGGCAGTTTAAAGTCAGAATTCAACTGCCGGTTAGTAGACATTTTTGGCGTATGAGTATACTTTGCTCAGAATGAATAACATGGAGGTAAATCCATCGCGCACCCACTTGAAAACGCATGTGATTCCCAAAAACCAGGAATTCGGAAGCTGCCCATTAGTTCTATATTTTCTTTGATATCTGCAGAAGCTATTCGTCAATATTCACACTTGTGACGAGTCGGTATACACTTACTGCTTTCCTCGTTAGAGAACTTACCAACTTCTATCTTCCAAGGAACCGATGAGGGTGCTGGTCAATTACTGTTTCACTAATAAAATTGGTGCATGGGTGGATTTGATTGAAGGTAGAATGAATTGATAGAAATGACAATAATATGGTGGTTTTAATCAATTCGAATACACCAGAAGTTTGTGCTAACTTTCCAGACGTTAATTCCAGCAATATTTGAGGTTAGTCGATCTTTTCAACACCGCACTCAAGATATCTAGCAATTAGAATAATACAGCATAATTCCGCCCAATACTAAACGGGTTTCATCCGCATCTAAAAAAATAATTGAAACAAAACTCAACTCAACTCAAAGGTCTTTAAGGCTTGTTACTAGTCAAAAGTGAAAAGTAGAAAGAAATAATTTCAGTCACACTTTACGAAATTTGACCAATTAGAATTTTGTTACTTTACTACCTACAAATTCCTGTTAGACTTTGTAAAATACGAGTGATACCAAGCACCCGATCGACTTGACGTTGTAATGTGCTGAAAAATATAGGAACCTAACCCTAACCCTACATTCATTTCTGCTACAACGTAATAAAAAAATTACAAAATATATAACACTAAGAAAACAATTAAGCCTTTGAGGCTCAAGTGAAGGGGAATAAATTGAATTAAAGATCAAAGTTTGTTGAAGTTCTCCTGAACCCCCCCCTTCCCCACCACCTAGTTCTCGTAATTGATGATGATAAATTTTTTCCTACGCATAGTAAGGACTTTCGTGTGCCCACAACCAATTTCTCAAATCAAAAGGCCGAGGTTAGAGCGAAGCCACTGGTGCAATGAAATCTACAAACCAAAGGGAAATAGAAGGGAGATTATAATTTGCGGGTTGAAAGAGTTGGAGATAAACATTGACTCCTTTTTATACTGGCAAAGTGGATGTGATGGCTAGACTGGCAGCCTCATTAGTGCCTGGAATAGAGAGGGGGGGGAGGAAGAGGGGTAGAGTGAGTTGAAATGAAAGTCTTAGCTCAAAACCACTAAATTGAATGGCAGCAACCTGAAGGATAGGGTGGGGCGAAGACCTGTAAATCTAGTTTGCTCTCTCCTTAATACCACAATGGCTTCAACATTTGCTCAATGTAAGTTGATGCACACACTAAATTGACTGTCGTTTGTGTAATCAATAAAGTATGCCTTAGAGGAGTGCAGATGTGAGTCACACTGTGGTTTTTGTGTTGGCAGGACACCAGCTTACCAACTGGAAAATTTACCATCGTCTTCAGCCTATACCTCATATTTAAACGTATAGACTGAAGAGAAAGCTTGCACACAATTGATACTCTAAAAACAGTCAAATTAGCACGAGGACATGATTAAGGGTAGGGGAAAATTGCAGCTTTATTTAATTTGAAGAGGAAGTGTAAACAGCGTTACATTTCTTGTATATGTCTCAGAGTATATCAGAAGAATGTTGTCTTTGTAAGCAAATATGAAATTAATTAAACGAGTAATGTATCTTCTGATGTGTTTCAACTTAAAAGCTTCTCCAGTGGATTGATGCGAGCATTCAATGTCTTGACGGTACAGCACTATACGGTAACCTGGATGGTTGGCGAAATCTGGTTGTTCAATTGAATTGATTCCAAATAGAAGTGAAGTCACCACATTTTTGGGAAAAGAAGAAGGAATGGCCTTCCATAGCAACACACTTATATATCTCCAAAACGGAAAGTGACTATTGCTTGTGAGAGTTTAGAACACTGTGATCAAGAACAGTGGTTGAATTGTAATGATGAATTAAACGGGGAGAAGTTGACGGATCTAATTTGCCTCAAATATGCCACAGCACGTCTTTAGAGATCCATGGCTTTTATAGTTCACATGCACCTATTGTGGTTCTGAAAAAACCCGAAGCATTCGATGTTCACGAATACGCCTGTTAAGCTCAGATTGAGATGCCTCTACAATTTGTTGCGGGGGGGGGGGGGGGG